CGCCTTCAGGGTTTACTCAGGATCGCACATACCGGAGTCATCGCACACGGGTGGCGCTTTATATCAAAATCAAATGATTCAATTCGCTTTCCGCTCAGGTCCGGTTTCTCCGTACGGTCCGGAGTCATCGCACAGGGTGTGATACAAATTTTAATGACGAAAATATTCAAAAAAGGACCGCACGGAGGTGCGCTGACTCGCAACCTTACGGTATAATAGTTCGCCCAATCCGCCAGTGTGTATTGTGCAGTGCACTTGTACGCTTTGTACGTTTTGGTGGTGTTGACGAAGTTTACAAGTGGAGTGGTTATTTTTGAGGTATTGTATCGCAGCTTGCCTCGGGCAACCGTGCTGGTCCTCAAGGAGTTTTTTTTGTTGAGGTGGTATGAGATGCTTTACGGTATAATAGTTCGCCCGATCCGCCGTGTGTATTGTGTACTGCACTTCGTACGCTTTGTACGTTTTGGTGGTGTTGACGAAGTTTACACGTGTAGTGGTTATCTTTTAGGTATTTTATCGCAGCTTGCCTCGGGCAACCGTGCTGGTCCTCCAGGAGTTTTTTTTTGTTGAAGTGGTATGAGGTGCTGGAGGTGCGAGGAGGTAAATCCGAATACACTCTGAGTAGTCCATATTGCACTGTAGCTTGCCTCGGGCAAACGTGCTGGTCCTCCACGATTTTATTCTTTGCAGGTGGTATCTCGTTTCCTCCCGGCGTCGCAAATGCGGATTTTCAGTTGAACTTCACTCACATTTCATTATTCCGGGCAACCATCCAACCAAGGAAACACAGCTTATTTGTCCCCCAACTTCAGGCATTGGTATCAACTTGTACATACAGCTCTCATTGTCAGTGCGCTGTACAAATTGGCAGTCAAACGCGGTGGAATAAGACCGACAGACAAACATGTCATGAGCGCGCGCTAAAAAACGAGAACAAATACAGCAGTCTAACAGCAACCGTCAAACGCGGTGGAAAAAGCACAGAGGTGTGCCCCTAATCTCTCGTCGGCAGGCTAATCCCTGGCCCGCTGTAGAATGGGAATTAATGGCAGTTAGGGAACTATTACACACGTTGGAGTTATAAAACAACAATGGATGCATGAATGCTTGGCTGTCTGTGTGTTCCGACGAAAGAGAGCCATCAATCATCAAGTTGTCAAGTGTGCATGCGAAATGCTGCGGAACATACTCTCGCGTCGGAAGTTGCGGCGGTGCGGCCCGAACCTCTCGTTTGCAGGCTAATCGGTAGACACACAGTCATTCCAGCGTCGAACGGGATATGCATCCTGTTGTAAGCTTGAAAGAGCCTTCAATTTGATGGCGGGTAGACACGTACAGTCACGAATTCGTCAATATCGGAGCAATTTGGTGCCGGATGCACCTGCTGCATGCTCGAGTTTCGTGCTTGAGAAGGCCGACCACCTACAGAGCCAAACGTTAATGCAGGAGGCGCCAATCAACCTGAAACTTGCTAAGAGCATCCGAAGTAGTGCAGGACGGCCCATGGTCTATTTCCTCGCCCCTCGGGCGTTTGGGTACAAAGAGCGCGTGGTTCGGAGCTTCGGAGTGAACGGCAGCAGACGACAGGAATTTTTTTTATTACCGTTCTAAAAAACCTTTTTAGACCGTATCGGTCTCGTAGAGGAACTTGTTTGGGAGCGTTGATTGGTTACTTCGAACTGGCTTTGGCCTGTTGGACAACCGACCACGGACACTTTTTTGGCCAAAAACAATTGTAATCTCCAGGTCTAACAATGTATTTCTAGCTTCACTCGATGCAAGATGAATGTCGAAGGAATGGGTATTTGTTGAGAAGCTGCAGTCTGATCAAGTCTAATTGTTGCTGGCAGGCGACGCCGGCCGCTGGGAGGCGGAATGTGATGTCGTACGCGGCGTATAAACCAGGTGGCTTTGAAACTTGGCATGTAGTTGTGTCTACTGTTTCATCTTGGACTCTAAGTTTGGTAGATGTCAGCGAGCAGGTTGGGGAGTTGTCAACGAGAAAAAAAAAAAAATGGTCTGCCGCGGGCGGCAGAATAGCAGTCGGATTTGGCCAAACGCTGTTTGTAGGCGCGCTCGCTCTGCTCGCCACGGGCGTTGAAGAGACTTGTGGGGCATCCCTATTCTGTCCTAGCGTATCGCGCCACGGCAAGCACAAGGCTGTATCTTTCTCGGTTGTGGAGAACGTCGTGCGAAAAAATGTATGGATTTGGCATCCAGGCGCTAGGCGCCTGTGAGCGGCTCGATACTTAAACTTTGCCGTTGCATAAGCTGCGATGCAAAGTGAAACGCTCGGCGCGTTGGCCAGGGCTCGTGTGTGCGGGGGCATGGCCGCGTGCGTCTTCGTTGTAGCGTTGTTGAGCTCAGAGCATTCAGCCGCGGCGAAAAAGCGCAAAAAGGCAGACACAAAAAAAAAGACGTTAAAGGAATGCTGATGAAGGTCGAAGCAAAATGCTGCGTTAGGCACCGGTGTCGCTTCGATTGAAATTCCTTTGACAGGGCCCTACAAGAAGGTACCGCCGCGATCTCGTGGTCGTAGCTTTCGCCAGCAGAGTTAAATCAACCGCGGTTGAAGTATCGCGGACAAATAAGTTCAAATTATCGCGGTCAAGATTCCTTTTAGATTCTTTTTTTTCCTTTGCTGAAACCAATCCTTTTCGGATTGAAACCGTTTCGTTTTTGGTCCTTTGGGCGTTGTTTGTTGTTTGTTTCTCTCCCATCATTGGACTCTGCCGTCTGCCCCTCTGGCCCCTATCCTCCACTTCTACTGGCTAGACGACCCAACCGGGGTCACATAGGAGGGGGGGGTGGACCCCCCTCCTGCGGTTCATGCCTGAGGTATTTTTATCGCGAGAAGGGTACAGCAATCCCTTCCCTCGCGACTTACGAAGTCGATTATGGTTTACTAACAAACGAGCTTTGCAGCGCGTCGCTTTCATCCTAGACCAGGATTTATTTAGTGAGAACAAAACTCTCCCTGCCGGGACTCGAACCCATGACCTGGCCCTTAGCAGGCTGCGAGGCTACCCACTAGACCACCGGGGCGAATCACATCCGGAAGTACCGTTGTTGCTGAGTGGGGTTGCTGAGTGGGACAATATCGGTAACAGCAACGAGGACTGGTATGTAGCAGCGTTCCTTGAACGCATATTTGGCAATGGCGTGACGAGGAAAAAAAAATGACGTGATTTCGGCTAGAATCCGAGTACACACGATACCAATTGGTCTCGCGCTTTCGTTTCGGTCATAAAATATGAATGAATCCCAGGACATCCGCAGCTTACCTTGCATTTGCTTGTACGATGTGGGGTGCGTTGCGGCTTGCATGTTGTGTGTTCGGTCAGTGTCCCGTTTGCTCACGTCTTCCTTCTTCCCCTCGCTGCCTAGGCAAGGTTTTGCTTAAGCATGACCAATAGCGAGGGGGGGGGGTCTTTCTAGCGAGCAGGGCTAGAGTCACCCTCAAGGGACCGATACCTTCTTGCTACGGCGCACCCGCCGCGAGGCGTGCGTAGTGGTGGAGTTGGATCGGCACACTGGTGCGTAAGGTACAAAGGTGCAGATGCGCGGGCCTCCAGGCCGTCGGTGGAGGCAACAATGCCCACCTCATCTCTGTGCGCAGAGGCAGACGCCATCAGAAAGGTGGACGGGCACTACGTACACGGCCCTAGGGTTTCTAGAGCGAGCTGTACTGTCTCAGTAACCTGATTTCGCCATCAAAGGAGGAGGGGACAGGTGGTGGGGTGACGAGCTGATTGGGCTGTTTGACCCTGTGGCGCGAGAATTTTCAGACCAAGAACCCTAAGTGCAACGAGGGAGAAAGCGAGGAACCGACGGGGAAGGACAGCAACGAGAGTGTATACGAAGCAGAGAGGGTCGAGTTGGTCGTGATAGGACTGGCCACCGCGGAACCGGAGCAGCGGAACCGGAGCAGCCGAAGCGGAGCATGCGGACGGCATCGAACCGTGGCGTACGGACAAACATCTCTTGTGTTTTGTTAATTGTTTTCCGTTTTTTCCCTGACTATCGGTGTTGGGTGTGTGTGATGACGTCAATGATTTTGTAGAGAGACGCGGCAGAGATGGCCCGGATAACCCGGGTGCCTCAATTGTGGAATGATTCCTAGTCAGTGTCGACGTTGACACTGCTGTGTCTAACACAAATGATCTGGATAGATTCGGGCGATGGTCAATTGCAATGATGGCTTTGGTTGGTTGTTCTTCTTCATCGTATGTGCACGGACTCATTCTGACAGCACTTCAGACAGCAGCTGCATACCCCGAGCTTGTGTACCATGCACCAAGGTGTTATTATTGTACAGACAGCACTTTAGACAGCAGTGAGCTGTAGTCGCCACACATTCATTGTGGTTGAGTTCGGGACAAGGGGGGTGATGCTGCTGCTGTAGTCGAATTGTAGCGTGTGGGCGTGTAGTTCAGTTGTGAGCACACAAACGTGCTGCAGGGATTGCAGGTGTACCTCCTCGGGCTGGTGTACCCTTTTCTTGCTAATAGTGTGTGCTCATTAGATCTTCTGATGGCTCTAGCATTTTTGTGACGACGGACCGAGTCCTTGCTAGATTTTTGGATTAGCAACTGACACGAGTTTAATGTGAAGAAAACAACAACAGAGTTCAATCTTGGATTAGGAGTAGGTGACATCACACCGGGTGCGATCTCACCGACCCCTGTGAGTATATCGATCGAATTCAATCTGATCTTAACAGTTTTGCGCACGCCGGTGCCATCTCTCCGCGCCTATTACGGTAGTCAAGAACCCAACACGGGTGCATGGTATGTACGGCATACACTAGATCTGCCGAATAAATAAAAGGCGACGCGTGGATGCACGTATATGAAAAAAGTGGGATACATGCCGACACATACAACGTGTAGAATCGACGAGACGCGCTTCGAGAACCATCGCCAACCCGAAGCGATGGATACACGGATCTTCCATGGCCTATCAACACACTAACAGGCAAGCGCGATACAACATCTCACACGCGTGTTCGCATCTTCTCTCGAGGGATTCCATCCTTTGTCGAAGCCAAGCCGCCGCTCTCTCGAGAGTGTACATGCCCCTGCCATTCGAAAAAACATGAACCGGGGAGGAACACGAGCACGGGTTACGCAAAGATGTCAGTAATACACCGGTTCCTTCACATTGTAAACGATGGGATAAAAACTTGTTGCGTTTTGGCTCAAATGAAAGTGGAAACTTGCCAACCAACGTTGAGGGGGAATCATCAGCCTCGTTCTACTTGTGGCGCAGTATCTCATATCCACCTCCTTCAATACGTGTACCCACGTGTATACGTATCATTTCGATGTTGTTTGTGCTTCGGCACCACTTCCCCTCGCGGCAGGGAATCATTCCTCATGGCTCTTTGTCAGGGGCACGCAGGAGGCCAGTCGGTACATTACCACGTATGCCCGGGGACCGTCAGGCATGCGTGGCACATGCAATCGACGCCTACAATCGCCCCTATTGGCTGAATGTCGCGAGCAGGCCTTCCCAACCAAACAAACTAAGGAAAAAATACAACAATTCGTTGCGTGACCAAGGAGACTTTTGGCTTGACTCCTGCGCAACACACACAAGTCCCACAGAAAATAGGTGACGAGTACATAAGAGCGAGCGATCAGACGAAGCGGGTCACAGCGGTAGGATCTGCGGCAAAAATACCGCTAGCCTAACAGCACAGACTCACGGACACGCGAGAAGTAACGGCGAGAAAAAACAACCCGCAAATGCTGCAGGTTGTACGGAAAACCGGCAATACCAAACGTTGACATGCGAGGATGCAACCGTGACATGGCCTTGCCCTCTTGGTCGACCCCGGGAGGCAAACCACCTAGACAAACTCCCAAAGGGGAGCCTTGTATAGCCTTGTACCGTTAAGGTTGCGAGTCAGCGCAGGGTGCGATCGATTTTCAAAGAGTAATTTCTCCACAACCAGGAGGGTGCGAACACCAACAGATACTTCTCAGGAAAGCTCTCGATGAGGTATTTCCAAAACCGCCCTTTTCGACAGTGGTGGTCTTGTCCTCGGTTGTGGAGAAACTACGCTTTGAAAGTCGTTTGCACCCCTGTGCGCTGAGTCGCAACCTTACGGTATGAATATAAAGGATTTCGACTCTTCTGGTGGTTGTGTTATTTTCTCTCTGGTGGGACAGCGTTTTCTCCAACACTTTCTTCTGCATGGCACTCCGAGGACCCGTCCGTATATTACCCGCTATGTGTGGGTCTCGTGACACATTTGTGGTGCCTGTTCTGGCCGCCAAAAGTCGCCGCGACTGGTTCTACTTTGAGGGGTTGGGAACCAAAAAGGCTTTATATAAAGTATACATCAAAACTGAAGCGGAACACTTTCTTAGCGGGGCGTTTTCGTGTTCTTCTCCTTGGCGGTCTGTTTCGTTCAGTTGCGCGTATATTTTCCATCATTTTGCGCGTTGTTCGGCTGTTGAGCACATACACGATATTGAAAGACCAGCTGGGCGCTGGAGCTCAACACACATGGTACATTGCAACTGAACCAAGGGGAACAAAGACCCCTACGAACATTCAACGGCAATGCCATCCGTTAGAATTCGACAAGCGGCGACAGAGTCTTTTTTCTTCAACTAGCCAACTACATCACACCAGCTTTCTTGTGCAGTCCCGCGTGTGCCGCAAACACAGCACAGCGGTCAACCATAGATGTAAACGGCGGTTTTCCATGGCCGCAGAGGGGACCAAGGCTCTTGATTTATGTTGCTCATGGGAACACAACACCGACACACAAGTCCTCTCGCACAAGTCTGGCAGCGGCCCTTTATAGTTCAATTTCAAAAAATCGAAAATTCAAAACCCAAATATTGTGGTAAGCAGTCAATGTCGGCAACCGTTCTTGGGGCACGTTGAGTATCTCTTTGATCCGTTGTCAGTGTTTGCGTGAAATAATCCCACCGACCATACATGGGAAACACGATCACACGAGAAGAGTCAGTGATCAAACGCAGGGAATACAGCAACAGGACCTGCAACAAAGACGCCACTAGCACACACTCGTGCACAACAAGCGAACGTCACGGGGGGAGAAAAAATACCTCCCACATGATGCAGGCCAGTTTGCAAGTAGCACGCAAAACCGGCGCTACCGAACGTCATGAAGCTGAGACGCAACCATGCGACCGTGATGGCATTGATTGGCCATGTCCTCTTGGGTCGCCCGCGGGAGGCAAGTCACATTAACTATCGCGATGTTTTTCGCACTTCGGCAGGTTCTCTGGCGAAGTAATATTGTCTCTCGGAACCTTCTCAGCGGCACGCAGGGGGTACGTCGGTGCATTAACGAGCATGCCCTTGGACCGCCAGACATCCATGGCACGTGTGATCGATGCCCGCCTTCAGTGACGCGACCGGGGAGCCATTCTGAACCAAAAAGGACTTCGCATGAAATGCAAAAGATGCTTGCATAGACTTGACTACAGTTACGTCTGAGCCCTGAGACGGCAATAGTTACATCAATGTAATACTAGAGCAAGATGATTCTTTTGGCGCATCAGTCTGCGGTCGTCTTGCGACTTTGTTTTTCGCCGGTCTTCACCCGCTGGAGCGAGCCAGTCTTTCAATCACAACGCCCTGTCGCGAGCTCGGAACTGCAAAGGCGAGTAGAGTTACAGCGCTGTGAATGCACGCAGCCATTATTCCAGTCATTGAGCTAGACATTGTGGTGCGGTGAATCAGTTTCAATCGATTTAGACAACATTTTTTTCGGCTGCCTTCGCGGACCTGACCGTGCTCATCTTGTGATCACAACGCCCCAGTCGCGAGCTCGAGACTCAAAGGGCGAGGCGAGCTACAGCACCATGAAAATTGCTAAAAATCTCCGGCACCAGGAAGAATCTACGCACGGAGCTGTCAACTCTACAGAATCGCGCAGCTGGTTGGTCAAGGCTTTGTCGGACAACGTCAAAAAATGTCACCGACGAGCGGCGGTGTGTACTGCCTGTCGTCGTGTTCGGAAAAGTTCAAGCTCAATCACCACAGAGCGTGGGTCGTGAGGTGCTGTCCAACGATCAACATGGATGTCGGCAAACGAGCCTCCTATTACCCTCCGCCTGCCACTCTTGTGTTTCTGCAACGTGTTCGGGCTCCTTTCTGGCGCACACACAAGGCTGCTTGTGTCGTTTGTAGGTGTCCTCATAAAGCCCGCGGTGTCTGGGGGCAAGCAGAAAGTAATATTCCTGAAGATCCATCGGTCTTAGACGCCCGGGGTGGTGATAAAATAGACCAAGATCAAATCGAACTCGCAAACTCCGTGTTCAATCTGTACAATAGTCGCAACCAACGATACAACTACGGCTGGCTGTAACATGCATGTGAACGGTAGACAGATATTGTACATTTGTGTGATGTGTCTGTGTACGTTGCCCTTTGCTTTCCGTCGGGTACACCCGCCTGTCATCGTGAACACACCCGCCAGAAATAACTACAGCCTATACCCTTTAGTACACAAACAAACGTTCAACCGTTTACTGCATATTTCCAGTCATACCCCGAGTGTTTGAATCCGACACAGCAGTCATGTCTTTTTCAGTCTACCCCGCAACCGCGCAACCACTAATTGAACTATGGCTGGCTTACAACATGCATGCCTGTGAACGGTAGACAGATAATGTGCATTCGTGTGATGCGCCTGTGTACGTTTTGCCTTTTGCTTCCCGTCGGATACACCCGCGTTCCGTCGTACCCTCCAGAAAATAACTGCAGGCTGTACCTTTTACTGTAGTAACCCGAATATTTGAATCTTTACACCGTCGTAGACCTTTCAGTCATATCCCGATTGTTTGAATCTGTACAAACCGCAAGCATGGTCTCCTCGGCACCACAACCTACCCCAGACTGCTTAGAGCCCTTCCTTTCCAGCTTCGTGCCCTTGGTGTGCTGTGTACAGTCTTCACCCACCACCCTTCCTTTCCACCATTCCTTGCAGCCAACTCTGAGGCGACGGCGCCTGGCGCCCGAGCTGGAGACCTTGTCAACAGGAACACTTTTGATTGCTGCGCAACGCAGACATCTTCTTACACAACATTACCAACACGTTACAAATACATGAAAGTGACCGAACGCAGCGGGTTTACAGCAGTAGGATCTGGTAAAGACGCCGCACGCCCAATAGCACACACTCACGAACGCGCGAACAGTCACGGCGAATGGAAAAAACAAATCTACATTACACCCCACAAAGTGCCATGATTCTGCCGTACGTACGGAAACCCGGCATTAGATGTGTGATGCATCGTCTAACAACATCATACTCGTCTATTGCCGTCAACTAGGCTTCGAAACACATGTCGGTTTTTAGACCAAAAATAATCGGCCGGATGGGGGGGGGGAGGGAGTACAGGCCCAGGATTTTTTTGCCGTGTGAAACTCATGTTCGATGTTGGTCTGAGCACCGTTCGGGAAAATCCTGGTCGCACCAGTCGGGGCCACACAGGAGGAAAGCCACACTGGAGTCTTTTTCCGAGAAGAATGCAGTCGTGTCTTGTCCTCGTCGACCACAAAGTCGAACTATTGCGTACACGCGAACTAATAATGTCCACATTGTTGGAATGCTGTGACAAAAAATCCCATTTGCATGACTGCACCGAGATTCGGACCCACGCCCAAAGACGTTGGAAGGCTGCAAGGTTACCTACTGAACCGGGTATATTCACCGGAAACTCTGACGAAACCGGGCATCTTGTTCAGACCATGTGAGCCGCTGTGCAAAAACATGCGCGATAGTTGGTAAAAATTGATGCCCATACTGTGCATGGGCCCTGAACATGTCAGGCATCAGAATGAGATTGTAAGTGGTACTCATGGGTGTGCGAGAAAGGGATGGGCACACCCATTTCTCTCCACTCGTGACTTTCTCGGCAACAAACGAAACAAAAAACAGCGTTATTGACACACCGCTTTTTGTGCTAGCGTTTAGTTGCGAGAAAGGTTGAAGTTTGTGCAAAGTCTATCGCAACTTTTCTCATATACGCTCTAGATGGGAGCAAAAGCCTGCAAACCTTTCTTGCGAAAAGCGTCGAAAAAAAGTATAGCGGCGATCTTTCTGCCACTCCACGTCAAGAACCTGCCCCTACCACACACACG